TTTTCATTTTCATTTCAATACCTCATGGGAATAAGATAGTCAAATTAAATACTTTCTATAAACCATTAAACATTAGTTTTTAATGCTGACCAGGAAAGCCTCCCTCTGTCTTAAATTACTGTTGGGAAAGCATAGATGTGATTTTTTTTAAACTAAAAGGCCAAAGGCTGGTACTCTTTTCTGGCTTCTCGCGAGTATACAGACTTTGCATTCTGTTATACATCTAGTAGTTTCTAGTTCCAACAAAAGTTGACTGAATGAATTAGTGTTGACCCAAAATCACCACTTAATGCAAGTTCCATTGATCTGATAATCTACTTGGGACTCACACATGAATTTAGGGTAATTTTTGTAGGACACAAACAATTCACAGTTTGATGTTTAAAATATGATTTATTAATAATATGATTTATTTCTTGCTCACCTATTTCCAAAGGGAATCAAGGTGAGTTACAAGCATAAAAATAAAAGAATACAATTAAAAATACAATACAATATAAACAAATTATCCATCAAAATAAAGTTTATGTTATGTTTGTCTTTAAAACATCCTAATTCACACTTTGTGTCTTATACTTATTTACATGGTTTTGTGAAAATGTAGTCTTTTAATTATTCACACTTTTCACTGTGTTATGTGAATTCTTTAGTTAATAATAAATAAGCATGAGATTCAAATTTGTTTTCTGCGATTTGTTGCTCTTTCCCCAACACAAGGCAGGTGTTTCTCTGTAGCCAATTTTCTGCACAGCAGCATTTATTTAAAACATTTAAAGACTATCCTTCAGTTCAGCATTTCCAGGGCCTCTTTATTGGTACACTGCATACAAAAGTCCTATGTAACTTTACTTAAAAGACCACTTGATTTATTTATTTAATTTGTATTCAGCTTTTCTCCCAAGAGCAAGGATGGGGGCATCTTGACCTCCCTAGAGAAGGAGTTCCAAAGTCTGAGAGCAGCCACCGAGAAGGACCTCTTCCTTGTTCCCACCAAACAAGCCTGAGAAGGTGGTGGGGCAGAGAGAAGAGCCTCTCCAGGTGATCATAGAGCTTTATAAAGGGAGTTACTGTCCTTCAAATAGCCTGGACCCAAGCCATATAAAGCTTTCTCAGTCAAAACCAGCATTTTAAATTGTGCCTAGAAATGGACCTGCAGCCAGTGGAGCTGTTGTGTGCTCCCTGTAGTTAATAATCTGGTTGCAATTATTTGGGCCAACTGAAGTTTCTGAGCACTTTTCAAAGGCAGATCCATGTAGCATGCATTACAGTAGTCCAGATGGGATATAATTAAGGCATATGCCGCTATGGCTACATCAGACTTTTCCAGAAACGGGTGCAATTGGTGCAATAGCTTTTACTATGCAAATAACACTTCTGGTTGCTGCTGAAACCTAGGCTTGCAGGCTCAGATCAGAATCCAGGAGTACCGCCAAACTGCAAACCTGTGTTTTAAGGTTTGTAATCCCATTTAACAAAAGCTGAATCCCTGATCTCAGATCTGTCTACAGTTGGCCCTCCATTTTTGCGAGGGATCTATCCTGGACCCCCCCACGAAAATGGAGATTAGTGAGTATTCAAGCCCCATAGGCTTGAATGGGGCACGCCCCTGTGGGTGTGTGCAGGGGCGCGCACCATTGATTTAAATGGAGGTCATCCCTCCATGAATATGTAAAACCGCAGATTTTAAGTCCATAAGAACTGAGGGGCGACTGTATTTGACTGACCAGGAACAACTTTCTTGTATGGATTAAACTTATATTTGTTCACCTTCATTCAGTCCATTGCAGCTGGTGTTATATCATATGGGGTCCGCCTGCCCATTAAGCAGAGAGAGCCCTCAAGGAGCTGATTTTCCTATTTCTGAGCAGAGGATGCCTTTGAAAGATTCGCTACCATATGCTCCATGACCAATTGAATGAGAGTTGCTCCCAAGTAAGTATGCATAGGATTTCAACTTTAAGAATTTAAAAAGTACTGTGCATGAGCACTGATATTTTGTTTTCCTGGACGATGGGGAGCATTATAGGGTCTTTGCAGACTGCCAGAAATAGTGTAAATTGAGTCCACTTTAACTGCCCTGACTCAGTGCTAGGGAATCATGGGAACTGTATTTTATTGTGGCACCAGAGCTCTCTGACAGAGAAGGCTCAATATCTCAGAAAAAAAATACAGTTCCCATGATTCCCTAGCACTAACCCTAACCCTTAAAGTGGACTCAATTTGCACTACTTCTAGCAGTCTGCAAAGGCCCATAGTCTACTTCAGCTGGGCCCACGGTACTGAAAATCAGGCTCAGGACTTCTGTTCCTCTGTTCCTACTGTACTTCATATTGTTTTTATTGTTAAATTCTTGCTCTCAGTGGTGGTCCTTAAAAGTTTTTGCAGACACACAGTTAACTGAGAATGTCACCCTTTAATACACTTTAATTATTAATTACACTTTAATTATTTAATTGGGTTTGTTTAGGAAAAACATTCTTGGTTTTTGTTTTTGTAGACTAGCGATGAAAATGATATGGCCCTCCAGATGTTGGCAGATGCAGGTCCCAGGTGCTCAGGTGTGCCAAATCAATGATAAGGAATGCTGGGACTTGCAGTCCAACACTTGGAGGGCCAGTTATATACTGATATACTACAGTACATGTGCTCTGAAGCTGCGCTATTATATATACATAAATGTATCAAAATACCTTCCCTCTTTTTCATATGATTTGTGGTCATATGATTTTCCAGCCATTTTAACTGTTTGCCAACTATGTTTTGCAAGTTAGGAAGAGCATGTTGCTTTTCAGGATATTATTCTAGTAGGGAGAGCCAGCATGGCAAAGTGATTTGAATGATGGACTAGGACTCTTGGAAGATCAGAGTTAGAATCCACACTTAGACCTGGAAAACCCACTGGTGATCTTGATCAAGGCACATTCTCTCAGCCTCAGAGGAAGACAGTGGCAAACCTCCTCTGAATAAATCTTGTCAAGAACATCTAGAAGAGGCTTGCTGTAAGTCAGCATTGACTTGAAGGCACATAACAATAACAAATGCTAGTAGAGAATAAAGGAATACTATACAACAGTCAGATTGGAAGAACAACCAGAGCCTAACATTGATGGCTTTTATTTCTTACCTAGCTTTTTTGTTATGTGCTGCATCCTGTATATGCCTTTAAAAAATTAAATGATGTTTAATTTATTTACTGCTTTTATGGCATAATGTGTTGAATCCCCGTGTACAGTGAACCCTTTGCATACACGGGGTCTTATCCGGACTCCCCCCCCCCAAGTATGGGAAAAAATGTGGGACCTTAAGTTTCATTGTTTGCTGTGACTGCGCACTTTTGCGCATGCGTCATTTTTAATGCCCAGGGCTTGCCGTCCACATGAGCTTGAGTCTGCAGATGGCAAGCCTGCGTACAGGGTAGGCACTGTGTAGTGCATTAGGGGAGGGGGTTAATTTGATTCTTAAATTGTATGTTAATGTGGTTTTGAAAACTGTTCTGTTGTAATTTTACAAAAATATTTAAATGTTTAATAATATAAAGGATAAATTGATTTATTAGGTGATGGTTCTATTTTGCATTTATTTTTGATTCATGTGGCAGAAACAATTATAGATCTGAAATGGATGTTGAATCTTCCTTAGAAAAAGTCAGCCTTCCTTCTGAAACTGTTTCAGTATTAAATCACGAAGAATACTTCTTGTTTAATAAGCACATAGAGGATTATTCAGCAAAAGATGAAAAATTCCAACTAACGGTAACAATTACTTGATTTTAAATAAAAGCTACCGTATTTTCCGGCGTATAAGACGACTGGGCGTATAAGACGAC